CTTTACAACACAGTTTTCACCTAAATACAAGGTCTGCCAAAGAATGCCAATGCCTCACCAAATCCAGGGGTTCTATAGCAATGAGCCACGACAGATAAAGTGGTGTCAAACTGCATTAATTCTACAGTGTAGATCAGTAGTTCCCAACCTTTTGCCATCCAGGTGTTTTGGACTTCAACTCCCACAATTCCTAACAGCTGGTAGAATGGCTGGGATTTCTGGGAGCTGAAGTCCAAAATAACTGGAGATCAAAGGTTGGGGATCACTGGTGCAGATACGCGCACTTCTTTTCAAACATCATGAACCACTAACATTATTTTAAAAAATAATAAGCATTTTTCAAGTTTAACCAGCATGAAGCTATTAAGATATCTTGGTTAACTTACAAAATGGCAAAGGAAAAAAGAGGAAGAACTACATACTTTTATTTATTAAGCCACTAAATATTGCAATTAATTTGATTTCAAATTGTATTTATTGGATGCCGAATAAATACATCATTAGAGTATTACATTGGAACTTGGAACATAAAACTCACGAAGACCTCTTCTACACTGCCATATAATCCAAATTATCAAAGCAGATAATCTATATTAGTTTCCTCTTCCTTCGTTCGGTTTTGTCCATTTTCGCTCACTTCTCCATACCTCTTGGAATCGTTTCCCTCAACATTTCTGAACTGTTCCTTCCCTCATTGTTTTTAAATTACTATTGAAATTTCCTTGTGTTTGAAAGCTTGTGGAATTTTAATTAATTTTGTTTTATAATCTTATATATTTTAGTCACATCCATTGATTACTTGCCTCTCCATATTTACAGTTTCAACTTTTACAGATTTGATTAAAATGGTATCTCAAGGTACCTCTACATCCTGCAGTCTGACTCTATGGCAGTGATTCCCAATCTTTGGTCCTCTAGCTAGCCAGAAAGCTCAGTCAGTTTACCAGCTGTTAGGAATTGTGGGAGCTGAAATCCAAAACATCCAGAGGATCAAAGGTTGGGAACCACTGCTCTATGGTCATCTTCATCCAATCATGCTAGAGGACCTAGAAAAAATATCTCTCTAAGTATATCTAGATCCTCCAGTGCAAATGGATGGCCAGTTTCCAGGAGAAGCTGACCAGAGTTGTACTGAAAGACCTAGAATTTCCTAGAAAGGTGTTCTTCCAGGAAAAATAAATACATTTTTTATTTATGGATTTTTACTTTCACGGTGGTCCTGTCCCCCTAATCTCAGCAAACATGAAGGAATGACTGTATATAATACTATATTAGATTTTTTAAACTATTTAATTTGGAGAATTTGTTTAACGTATTGTATTGTATTGTATTGTATCATTACTTCATTACGGTGTGTGTCTATACATACACTTTAGAATGCAGGTCCTTGGAAGAATGTGGGGTTTTTTTTTAGCTATTTTACTTGTAAAGCACCACATATGCTGAGAATGATAAATAAAGAAGTAATTGTTGACTGGCCCAGTATGCACCTCCATTAAGGCCTCGACTGACCCACCTGCCTACTGCTGATGTTGCTGTTATTATGTTTATTTATATACCACTTTTTTTTCTAAAGGAGACTCAAAGTGATGAACAGTAGTAAAAACAGTACTATATACAATTTAAAAACTATATGTAAACATTAAAAGATAATTAAACCTACTATGACTTAAAAACAAATAATTAAAACCATTAAAGTCATTAAAACCAATTTTAAAATACACACACCAAAAAGTGAACTGGATTTAAGACAACATCCACCTCACTTTCTGAGACTACCTAGTATGGCAGAGATGGTATGCAACATGGGTGGACGCCAGTGCATGGCACCTCAATTACAGTGTGCCAAGTTTGGTCCAGATCTATCATTAGGGTCCACAATGCTCTTTGGATGTAGATGAACTACAACTCCCAAACTCAAGGTCAATGGCCACCAAACCCTTTTAGTATTTTCTGTTAGTCATGGGAGTTCTGTGTGCCAAGTTTGGTTCAATTCCATCATTGGTGGAGTTCAGAATGCTCTTTGATTGCAGGTGAACTATAAATCCCAGCCACTACAACTCCCAAATGACAACCCCCCCCCCCCCCAATCCCCACCAGTATTCAAATTTGGGCATATTGGGTATTTGTGCCAAATTTGGTCCAGTTAATGAAAACACATCCTGCATATTAGATATTTACATTACAATTCATAACAGTAGCAAAATTACAGCAATGAAGTAGCAACAAAAATAATATTGTGGTTGGGGGTCACGACAGCATGAGGAACTGTATTAATGGGTCGCAGAATTAGAAAGATTGAGAAACACTGCTCCAGGACATGGTAACTCTTTGATACTATAAAACTGGGTAAAGTGAGGATGACATCCAATGAGAACCTTGATCTGGGAGCAACCAAAGCCTCTCCTTATATAACCTGGGAGCAGGCCTGAATGAAACCACCACAGAGGCTGGATCCAGTTCTTCAATCAGACACCAGGATGCTCCTGATTGGTCCCTCTTCCGGCTTTTCTTTTGCAAAAATCCCTGGAAAGATGGCCAATCAGGAGAAAATAACACCAAGCTGGGAAGCTTCTCTGTTGCAATGCACTGATGCCATTTTCTTAAGTCACCAAACAACAATCATAGTATAAAATATAAATAAGAACCTTAAGCTTACTGAAGAGAAATAGAACAGATAATAAATTACTATTTTTCTCCAAAGAAATTGTTTTCTGCTAGAAGCAACTTAAGGAGGATTTCTGAGTAGTAGTAATTGCAAACACAGGAATTAAAATTTCTATTGATCCACTTAAAACTCATACATGCATGCCTGCCTAATAACTTCACCTTCTGTTTGTTTAACAAACATAAATGGCTACAGGAAGATTTGTTTATTTTTGTGCATCATAACAATTACAGTGTAATCAAGAGTGAAAAGTCTTGAAATCAATAAATACGAAGGGTAATTTTAAGCTACGTGGTCTTTTTTCCCCCACCTTGTGTTCTGTACCAACTTTGGTACGCAGGTTTTCCTCTATCCCTGGAAACTAATTCTGAATCTCTTAAGCTCCTTCCACACAGCTGAATAAAATCCCCCATTTTCTGCTTCGAACTGGAATATATGGCAGTATGGACACAGATTACCAGTTCAAATAAGATATTGTGGGATTTTCTGGGATATAGAGCTGTGTGGAAGGGCCCTTAAACATGGGATCTTTATAGAAGTCTATGTGGGAAAGAGTATGCTCAAAAAAGAGGAAAGGGTAAGGCAGACTTTTCCAAATTGTGTTACTACATGTGTGTTGGATAAATGAGTCTATGAGCCCTTCCACACAGCCATATAACCCAGAATATCAAGGCAGAAAATCTCACAATATCTGTTTTGAACTGGGGGGGGGGGGGGCTTCCGCACAGCATACAACCCAGAATATCAAGGCCGAAAATCCTACAATATCTGCTTTGAACTGGGTTATCTGAGTCCACACTGCCAGATATTCCAGTTCAAAGCAGAAAAAGTTGGATTTTATACAGCTGTGTAGAAGGGGTCTATGTGAAATAAGCAATAAATCACAATCTCTGAGGATGCCTGCCATAGATGCAGACAAAACGTCGGGAGAGGATGCTTCTAGAACATGGCCATACCGACTTCAACGCCTACAATCCAATAAATCATACACACACACACACACACATATGAGAAAGGTTTTCATGAGATATCTTGTGTCCTCATATTTTTCATTATTACTTTATGTATGTGCCCATTTCACTCATGAGGGGTTGACTTAATGAGAGATATGGGAACATACTTTAATTAGTAAAACTTAATTTCTGTGCCATGAAATGATGCATAAAGGAAAATAAAGGGGAGAGTATAGTCGCAAGAATGGTGAACTTATGTTCTGTATATGTCTATATAATTGTTAAACCTTTTGTGTGTGATTTAAAAAATGTTTAAAAAATCCGATGCATATCTAAAAAGTAAGGAAACAATGTTTGTCTAAAAAGTGTGTCACCAACATGACATGTTTGGAAACCTCTGGGATAAGGCAATGAAAAGGGGAAATTAGTCACAGAGGTATATAATAAGTGGGGTGCAAAGTTTCTGCAGTTGGGTCCTTCCCTCTTAAACTCCAAACAGAGATGGAGTTCAAACTATGACCTTTTTAAATAAAAGTTTTCACTCTACAAAGCTATAGAAATAGACATGAGCAAAATAAACAGACTCTCCCGCTTGATGTGAGGCAGGGGCTGCTGTTGCCCTTTCTTGGGGTGTATCTGCATTGGGGAATGAATACAGTTTGACATGACTGTGATGGAATCCTGGGAGTTGTAGTCCTGCAAGGTCTTTTGCCAAAGAGGGCTGGTGCAGCCCCAAACTGCAACTTCCAGGATCCCATAGCATTGAGTCATATCACTTAAAAGTGGTGACAAACTGTATTAATTCTACAGTGTAGATCAGGCATGGGCAAACTTGGGCCCTCCAGGTGTTTTGGACTTCAACTCCCACAATTCCTAACAGCCTACCGGCTGTTAGGAATTGTGGGAGTTGAAGTCCAAAACACCTGGAGGGCCCAAGTTTGCCCATGCCTGCTGTAGATGCATATATACTCTTTTCAATCTCTCTGGCTGAGAGGAGGGGCTGGAGATAGGAAATGCAACGAGGGAAGGAGCAGCGACCAAAGGAATGTAGCAGCTATTCAACTGGCTTCTTCGTTTACTGGAGCTCAAGGTGCCTCCCATAACCTTGAACCAGTGGGGCACCCCGAAGCCCCCTCACCAGTCAAGTACAGCCTGCCTAAACACACTTCTCTCGCCCCCCTTCCTTTCGCCTTCCTCCCTTCTCTCCCCTGGCGCTTCCTTTCCCCAACACCCGCGCGAGAGAGTGACTGCCTCTAGGACTGAGCCTCGTCAGCTCCCGTAGAGACAGCGACTTCCGCCTTTCTGCCTCCTTTCCATCGCCCTCCCCTTCCCCGCCGCCCAGCCGACCCGCTCGAGGACTGCGGCGCGCGCCGACTCACCACTTTTCGGCGCTGACACGAGGAGGAGGAGGGGCTCCCGCGTGACGCAGGCAGCAGAGGGGCGGGGCCTACGCACCGGACAACCCGCCCACCCCGAGTAAAGGCGTTGCTAGGCGACCCACAGCTCTTCCTTCTTAGTTTGGGACCTAGTAGGCCCCCAAAAAGGAATTCAGCAGAATCCTTATCCAGGATTGTGGATAATATGTGACAACACTGGCAAATTGTATCAATTCCTCCCAGCCTTCCTGCAGTCTCTCCACCTTTCCAATCTCTTTTTCCAGATCTCCTGCTGCCTAAGGCGCCTTCCACACAGCTGTATAAAATCCACATTGAACTGGAATATATGGCAGTGTGGACTCAGATAATCCAGTTCAAAGCAGATACTGTGGGTCATCTGCCTTGATAGGAGCCCCCGATGGTGCAGTGGGTTAAACCCCTGTGCCGGCAGGACTGAAGACCAACAGGTCGCAGGTTCGAATCCGGGGAGAGGCGGATGAGCTCCCTCTGCCAGCTCCAGCTCCTGATGCGGGGACATGAGAGAAGCCTCCCACAAGGATGATAAAAATATCAAATCATCCGGGCGTCCCCTGGGCAACGTCCTTGCAGACAGCCAATTCTCTCACACCAGAAGTGACTTGCAGATTCTCAAGTCTCTCCTGACACGACAAAAAAAAAATCTGCCTTGATATTTTAGGTTATATCGCTGTGTAGAAGGGCCCAAGGCTTTTTCTACACTGTCATATAAAATTATCCAGATCATCTGCTTTGAACTGGATTTAACTGGCAGTGTAAACTCATAGTCTGGTTCAAAGCAGATAATCTGGATTATATATGGAAGGAGCCTCAAGGTGGCTAGCAACTTTAGAAATTACATAAAGTTGTACGATTTGAAACCGAAACATCAACACTTAACATAGAATGAAACATAGAATCATAGAGTTGGGCCATCCAGTCCAACCCCCTACCAAGAAGCAGGAAAATCACATTCAAAGCACCCCTGACAGATGGCCATCCAGCCTCTGCTTAAAAGCCTCCAAAGAAGGAGCCTCCACCACACTCTGGGGCAGGGAGTTCCACTGCTGAACAGCTCTCACAGCTAGGAAGTTCTTCCTAATGTTCAGGTGGAATCTCCTTTCTTGTAGTTTGAAGCCATTGTTCCGTGTCCTAGTTTCCAAGGCATATCAAGACATACTACATTAAGCCATCCAAATCCTCCTGAAGGCAGGATGTCCCTTTGTTGCTGAGTGATTGTGTCACCATGGGGTGCTTCCTCTCAGGCGGCCATGCTCCAAGGCCTGAGGGGCACCATTCTTTCTGTCCATGCAAGAAGTCTTTGTTGAGTCCTTATAATCAATGGGGAAATCTACCCTAGGAAATGAAGAAGAATTTTCTAAGATTTTGGCATGCTGGAGTCACGAAAAGGCTGGCATTTCATATTTTATACATAGACACATATATGGGATTCATAAGGCATACACTGGGAAAGAGGGGAAAGAAATTCATATCAACCCATTCCACCCACCAGAGTTCATTTAAGTCCTGAAATCATAATAGAAATCCATGAGGTTTAGGGAGAAGAAAAGGTTTCTAAAAAGTTTCCAAAAGTTCTAAAAGTTGATCAAAGTTTGAGGAAAGTTGCTTAATCCATGAGGGCAAAATGGGGAAGTTTCCTCAGAGTCCATTGAGTCCTTGGGAAGTGATTGCCAGTGCTGGAGGTCGAGATTCATGTTGTAAAATAGAAAAAACTATAGATCCCATCTCGTCAAGGACCAGGATGGCCTGTCAGCTTCCTGGAGGTACCAAGGGGTGGCCGCAGCAGGTCCCCCAGGTCAACAGGCTCTCCAAGCATCAACAAGATGGCGGCAGCGATGTTGTGGCAGCAGGGAGCCAGCTGGGCTCCATGTCAGGTTTTGGGGGAAAAAGGGGTTATTCCCGGGGTGGAGAAGTTAGCGGAGCAAAAGCAAGATAGCCATTAGTCTTGAAATTAGTCTGTGAGAAGAATGGCACCGATTTTGGGGTGATCCACTGACCCGTAGATACGGGGACCCGATGGGTTTCAGTATCCACGGTTCAGCCTCCCCGGGATGCTGGAATTGCATCCCGGGCGGGCCAGCAGCCATCTGCAGCCCAGGAGAGAAAAAGTTCATGCAGAGAATGGTTTGGAAACAGTAAAGGACATAAAGTAACACTATAGAGAGGGAAAAGTTACAATTAATATATACTTTATTGGGGGGATTTGTTAGGTAGGGGAAGAAAGCAAAGCAAAGTCTTTGGTTGAATCTGCTGCTGTGGTCGCATTCCCTTGGATACTGGCTCAAGTGGGCAATGGAGAACTGCGGAACTCCCTGCTGCAGGTCAGATCGGCTTCAAGGCAGGGGCCCCTGGCTGGCTCGCCATTATTCCCAATGCCCATATGTCATGATTTACTGCCATCTTGGCCTGTTTCTGCAGTAGGCCTATGTTTACAGAAAATGCTGATTATTTGAGAAAACACTGCTCCAGAGAGGAAGTTACTTTTCAAGGTACATCCTGACAAAAATGGCTAACTGGTGGCTAGTTAGAAACCTCAAGTTTCCCATTCGCTCTGGAGTTATGTTTGAAACAGACTAGCAGATAAGATTGATTCATTAAGACAGTCATGGTTGTGCTATAGTTGTCCTTTTGTTACAAGAGACATCTCATTCTAAATGCAACAGTACATGAAGGGTTAAATGCCATATGATTATAAGTAATGTTCGTATTTTTCATGCATCCCATTAAAACAGCTTAGTTCTGAATCATTTCCCCTTATACATGTGTTTTAAGGGTGTATAATTAAGTAGTTACAAGTTGTTAAGCACTTGATGAAGTGTGAACCAACCAGTGATTTGTTTTCCATATTTACATCAACCCGCCCCCAACTCAGAAATGACAGCAGGATGTTTTTCATCCTCTCTTTCCTTCACCAGATTACGAAGTGATTGGTAAGGTCATTTCAATTCTTCCAATCCCATTAAAACCAAATACCAAGGGAATCATAATCAAAACATAGTAGGTGCTAAAACTCAGGATGCCACTTCTGAAAAATATCCCTAATTGGAAAACCTGCAACAGCCCTGACAAATGAGCATTTTAGGATGTCTTCTCAGTTAACATATTATGTCTTTTGTGAGACATGACTCACATTGCGTGTTAAAAATATTGCTATAGCAATGCTATTGTGTTATACAAAGTAATGCCCTTTGTTCCTGTACCCCATCTGTATTTCTGCAATTTTAAAAAAGGTGTTTGCTTCATGTTTTTGATTGGAAACATATCCAGATATGTTTCATGCCATCTTACATTCTCTAGTTTTTTGAAAAAAATAAATAGCCATCTTTGTAATAAAAAACTATACATTTAAATTCAGTTTAACTGACTTAACTAAAGAAGACCCATTGACTCAATTGGTGAATCAACACCTATATAAATCTCATTGATTCATCCACTCAAATTGGAGGTAGCATAGCTCAATGCTATAGACTCATGAGATATTTGGTTTTTACAAGGTCTGCATCCTTCTTTGCCAACAAATGCTGGTTCCTCATCAAACTGCAAATGTCAAGATTCCATAGGATTAAGCCTTGGTAGTTAAAGTGGTGTCAAACTGCATTAATGCTATACTATAGATGCATCCATGGAGATGTTTCATTCGTAGGGTTGCCAAACATAAAAACCAACTTGACATTAAGAAACAATAAAAAGGCTTTTAAGGGAGGCCTTCAAATATTTCATTGAGTTTTGATAGTTTTGAAAGTAGACAGAAAGCTTTACTCAGCTCATTCATATTTATTTATGTAATTGTAATGCTGCAGAAAATGGGGAATAATGAAGCACAAAAAGAGAGAACACCTGCCCTTTCATAGCCATTGCATTATGTCAAAGCAGCATGAATGAGTAGGCTTTCAATGGTCATTAAGAGTTGGAACAGCGATGGGATAGGTGAGCTAGAATTACAGGCACCACTTCAGAACAATGAAGGTGCAGGGGTGTTATAAATGGAAATATAAAAGCTTTCATTGTTTGGAAAGTGGCAAACACAAGAAAATTAATAAGGGTTGGTTGGGAGGTATAAACGCAAGTAATAAGTGCGTGGGTGAGGTGTGAAAGGACAAATGGCACTGAAAGCCATTCCCAGTGTAGAAACAATCAAGCTATATCATTACAGAAGGCTGTGATTAGAGTCATGTGGAATTACCAGATGGACATTTGTCCTAAAAGTGGCACACCGTGGAGGAGGAGGATAGCAATGACTTTTCCATTCTTGCCTCTCTTTCTAAGCAGCAGATGTTCAGACTCTGCCATTGTTGTCTGCATTCATAAAACAATTGCCTTTTCTATTTTTCTCATTATATTAGTTAATCAGAACATTTGCAGAGACAAGAGTACTGAGAGGATAAATATGATTATTTCACTAGTCAACAATGAGAAAGATGGCACAGCTGCTGGTGTTACCAAAATGGGCCAAAGGGTTGTTTTCATTCACTTATTCTATATTAATGAGTGTTATTGTTTTGTGTGAAACTGCAGCAGTTTTGTTTAATCAAGGAATAATGTGCAATTCAAATGCAGAACTTGGAAGAGTTTATCTTATGGGCCACAACAGACAATCCTCTAGACAGGATCACTAATGAGAATTCTTGTACATAAGATGAATTGTCCACATTCTGTTCAAATACATGTTCAACCAGGTGAAGAAGGCCTCTGAAATTCAATTATTTTTCAAGGGGAGATGGATCTTCCCCTCTTCTTCTTCTTCTTCTTCTTCCTCTTCCTCTTCTTCCTCCTCCTCCTCGGTCTAGAGTTATTTTCTAAGACCTGAGTCAAGAGACTAGTTCACCAGTTGGGTATATTCTCTACCTAACAGAAACATACGTTAGTTGTCAACTTGTCAGTTATAGCCCCTTCAGCGTTCTGAGCAAAACTTAAAAAGTTTATGTTTCTATGCCCTCAACACTCATAATCTTCTACCCAAAAGGTTCCTGTATCATTACGGTGCACTCTAAACTAGTTACAGCTCTTCCTTCAATTTCACAGAACCAAAAACTATCA